CTGGCTATAGAGTCAGGGCTTGGGAGTGGGTTAGTAACTCATCCCATTTCCAATTTTATGGCATCTCCCATACTCGAGAAGGTGAGGATTGACGGTAAGTTCGACAGTGCCATTTTTCTGGTGGGGAAACAGGCTCCCAGCAGGGCCCGTCCAGTGATGGGACCTGGGGGAACTGCTCACCCGAAAGAAGGTGACTGCCCCTCAGTGGTGGTGCCTCAGTTAGAAAGTGGGTGTGCGGGACCCAGTCACGTTTGCTGCAGGCCCCGTAGCAGCACGATGCTGGCTAACCCAGTGCTGGGGCATTTCACCCTGGTGACTTCTGTCCCCTCCCCCTAAGGTGTTCAAATCTCGAACGCCGCCGGAGGCCATCGCGCTCTGCTCTAGCCTGCTGGAGTACACGCCGTCCTCAAGGCTGTCCCCTCTGGAAGCCTGCGCCCACAGCTTCTTTGATGAACTGCGATGTCACGGAACCCAGCTTCCCAACAACCGCCCGCTTCCCCCCCTCTTCAATTTCAGTCCTGGCGGTGAGGGCACAGCCTGGGATCTGGGGAACCGGAGGGGCAGGCAGAGAATGTGGAGGAGTGCTTGGTGTTACAGACAGGAGTGGGGCGCTGAGGGTGGGCTACAGGAAGGGCCTGGGGGCTCAGGAGATGCCTCCAAGACAGGAGACTTGACCCTGCTTAACCCATGCCCTGTGATCACTTGTGCGAGGCTCCCTCTGGTTTTTCACTTAAAGCATTCAGTGGCTACACCCTTGCCAAGAGCTGGGTCCCTACCTGGTGCCCCCTCCTAACCCTGACCCTGTCTCCCAGTGCCCTGCCTCCTGACTGGGCATGTCCATTCCTGTCCCTAGAACTCTCCATCCAACCATCTCTCAACGCCATTCTCATCCCTCCTCACTTGAGGTCCCCAGCGGGCACTGCCACCCTCACTCCATCCTCACAAGGTAAGTCAGGGGCCATCTGTGGCAGATGAAAGCCTTTCTCAGCCTGGGAGGCGGGCCTGTTCCCACAGCCCCAGAGTTTCCTGCACATGTGTGGAAACTGTTGACACTCTGATCGTATACGCCTTGATGGTCACCTTTGTAGGCTATTATCATCTATATCTGTGTTTAAGTGCTAACTGGAAAGCCAAAGGCAAACGTTTGGCATGCACACACAAACAAAAAGTTAAATTTGTTGTCCACGTTTAAAAATTGAGGCCACTGCATGTACAAATTCAGATTTCCTGTCTCTCTTGGGGAAGAAAATCCGACTGGGCAGTGCGGGACTGCCTTTCCTCGGGGCGGTGCTGTCAGCGGGGCCAAGTTCCAGCTGCCCTCTTTTATGTGGGGCCTGGCTCTCTGGAGTCCGTCCATGACCAACCTGGCCCTTTGGCATTTGAGCATGCAACCCTGGACCCAGAGTGGCAGCTGTCTGTTTCCGATGTAGCATCCCCCACCGAGTTCCTGCTCTTGGAGGGATGGAGGTCTGCAAGGCAAAGCGTAACTGTCTGCTTCTTCCTCCCCCTCAGCTTTAAGTGAGGCTCAGACCGGCTCGGAATGGCAGTCGACCGACGCCACAGCTCCCCTCACTAACTCTTCCTGAGGGCCCCACCAACTACCCTTCCATCTGGGAGCCTCCAGTGGGGCTGGGAAGGGGGACCATAGCCCATCAAGCTCCTGACCTGGCTGGGCCCCTAGACTAGAGGGCAGAGGTAAATGAGTCCCTGTCCCTACCTCCAGTCCCTCCCTCACCAGCCTCACCCTATGGTGGGCTTTTTAAGAGGATTTTAACTGGTTGTGGGGAGGGAAGAGACGGAAGGACAGGGGGTTGGAGGCATGAGGACCTCCTGCCCCCTCGGCCCCCTCCCCTCCTCCCAGGCCTACACTCCTCCAACCCCCTTCCCCTCCTGTGTCCCTTGTAAATAGAACCAGACCATCCCGTCTACTCCTCCTCCCTTCCCTGCTCCTCCTTCCCCCTCGGGTGTAAATAGATTGTTATAATTTTTTTCTTAAAGAAAACGTCGATTCACACCGTCCAACCTGGCCCGTCCCCCTTCTACAGCTGTCCCCCCTCCTGTCCTCTGCCCCTAAGGTCTCCTCCCTCCTCTCCCAACCCTGGAGGGCTGGGGGTGGGTGGGTGGGGGAGCTCCTGATGTCTTAGTTTCCACAGTAAGGTTTGCCTGTGTACAGACCTCCGTTCAATAAATTATTGGCATGAAAACCTGCTTCCTGTCTGGCTGCCTTGTTTCCACAGAGGTGAGGGTGATGCCTGAGGGGCTGTTCTGGGAGAGGACCTCTCAGGCAGGGGAACAAGGCTGAGTGAACCCACCACGCTGGGCTGTTGGAGGCTTGAGTCCCGGCCCTGCCTCACAGGCCCAGCTTTCCTGTGCCTCAGCTCCCCTCTGCACATGTGACAAACTGAGTCTGCCTTATCCACTGCAGAGGCCTGGTGGGAGCCTGCCTCATGGACCCAGCACTGATCTGGAGGGAAGCAGGCACTGTCATCCCCAGGCGACAGTTGAGAGAATGGGATCAGAGGTCAAGGCCACAGAATGGAAGTGGTGGAGTCGAGACTTTGAACAAATGGCTCTATGTCTCATAGCCTAAGCTACATGCTGTTTCACAGGGACACTGAATGATGAGGGGTCACTCAGGCCAAAACAGCCTAGATGTAGACCCTTAGTGGGCACAGACGGGCAGAGTAGCTGTCCTCAAGCCCTAACAGATCTCCAAGCTTTCTTTTCTGTTTTAAAGAGGGCACATAGCCAGCCCATACCTAGGGCTGCTGGGAAGCGACAAGCCTGGGAAGGTTGGCACAGAGAACTTGGTTTCTTTCCCTCCTCCCCTTCCATGAAAACATGGTGGGGCCACGGGCAGAGGGAAATGGCCACTCCTCCATGTGGTGCCAGTGATATGTGAGGGCAGGAGGCCTCAAAAGTGGAAGGAGGAGCAACTGATACGTCCTCCACTGGACTGCACTTGTGAAGAAAAAAGGAAGTTTTTTTTCTTGGTTACTGTGTAATCTCTACGCCCACCGGGGAGCTTGAACTTACGACCCTGAGATCAAGAGTTGCGTGCTCTACCGACTGAGCCCCAAAAGGGAAGGGGTTTTGAACGTGTCCCAAAGAGTTCAGGGACTGTTCCTGTGGCATCTGAACTCTCCAGTTTGTTTGGGCCAGCCCCATGGGCACCTGTAAACTATTCAGAACAATCCTTGGCCTTTCCTGCTCAAGACCCTCTGGATATCACCTTGTTTGTAAGATAAATGCATCTAGCAAGGAGACCACAGCAGGACAGAAGGGCTGGTCTGGGCAAGGGGCACTCCCGGGGCCCCCCTACCTCCCTACTGCTCACATCTGTTCAGCCGTGAGGTCAGTGAGGATGTGCCTCACCCTCCTCCCACTCCCATGGCCTCGGCCCTGGTCTGGCCCCATCCTTTCCCCTTAGACCATCTTCAGCCAACCCCCTGCCCCACCCTGATGCCGGGGAGCCCTAAGGCCCACTTTTGACCATCCCCGCTACCCCAACTTAGTCTGACTTTCACAGCCTTCCCAGGTCCAGGCCTTCCCACCTGAGCACTTTGGTCTGTAGAGGCCTGGTGGGAGCCTGCCCCAGGAACCAGCCATAAATCATCTATTCCTGTTTAGGGAGGGAAGGATTGCCACTCTAGGTAGACTTCAAAAAGGTTGGGGATCCTTTCTTGTTCCTAAGGCCTGTGATCTTTCAAGGCCTCACCAAACCCCAACTGCTCGGTGACACTGGCTCACCTCTCCTCCAGATGTAGCAAATCCCCTGAACATCCCTACCCCTGCACCGGTTTCAAACGTCGCACTCGCTCAACGGTGCTGGTTACAGATGTGGGCTGAAAGCACCACCTGGATTCAAATCTCAGCGACACTGCTGCCTAGTGTGAGACCTTGGGTGAGTGCCTGTCCCTGTTTTCTCATCTGTACAGCAGGGCTAATGCTGAGATCACCACACGGGCCCGCCGGGTCACAATTCATGTGCAGTGCGAGCTGTGGTGCCTGCCACGGCTAGGCGGTCATGTGTGCTGTCATTGTGGCTGTAACTGGACGGTCTCCAAGTACACCAAGAACTCACCCTCTCTGCAGTGTCGTCTGCCTGTTACGTTCTCTTCCTCTTTCACTGGCGGATTCCTAAGTTTTCCACAAGGACTACCTCCTCCAAGGGGTTTGTTCCCACCGTCCCTGTGCATCCCCAGCACAGTCCTGAGGATCCCGGGACTGAGATCTGCCTGCTCCCCAGGGGCAGGGCAGGAGCCTGACTCCTCTCTGGCCCCCGGCATGGCCCGGCACGTGGGAGGGAGGCCCGTGGACTCCCAGGCTGAATGAATCAATAACACACACTCAGAGAGCAAGGCCATCTGTACTTGTGTGAACTCCACTGCCACTGAGCGTCTCCTGGGGTAGAGCCTGGGTCTGGGTCTGAGTCATTCCCGGGGTTCCAGCATCACCCAGCCTGCAGCTGAGTATGTGGGTACCTAGAGATTTCCTTCCATATTGTCAAAAGTGAGCTTAAGGAAGCCCAGAGAAGTCAAGTACCTCTCTCTCCACCAGGCAGAGCCAAGTCCTGTATGCCCAGGGTCCAGGGAAGGTGACAGTCTTGGGGACAAGCGAGAACCTGCAGAGGTATGCAACAGTGCCCAGCACAGGTCTGGCACGTGGTCGGGGCTCAGGAAAGGTTACCTGACGTTGCTGGGCACCAGGGTGACAGGTGCGGAGCAAAGAGCCCCGGCAAACGCTACTCTGCAACGCACCGGGGGGACCCGGGACAGATCACGTCCCATCTCAGGGCTTCAGTTTACCCTGAGGCGGAGAAAAGTGACAAGACACACCCGGCAGGGCCGTTGTGAGGAGTCAGTGGGTAAGAGGCCAGGATGGATCCTGGCACCCAATCAGGTGCCAGAGTGGCTTGCCAGGGGGTGGTCCCCTCTCTCCTGGAGGTGCCCACGATTGTTGTTGCAACCAAACTCTTTTATTGCTGCTCTTCGGCTGCGTCACACGAAGGCCGCGTCCAACTGCAGCAGCCCGCTCGCCTCCCCGGCCCCCAGGGCGGCCTGGCACAGCTGCAGCGTGTCCTCAAGTGCCAGAGGCTGGGACGTCTCGATGATGGCAATGGTCTCCCCCAGCTCCGTACACATGATAGTCTGCTGAGGCTCAGGGGGCGGGGGCGGGGCAGGAGGTGGCGATCGGGGCGGCTGCAGGGTCAGGGTCCGGGCTCGGGCGTGGACACGCTGGTGGAGTCGCAGGCCTGCCAGGGCGTGGAACCAGCGGCCGCAGGTCCCGCAGTAGTAGGGGCTCTTGTTGTACAGACCGGTGATGGGGA